TGAGGTGTCGTATCTTTTCCACTGTGTGTGCTTTTCTTATTTTTTTGATGATGAGCTGCGCCGGTGCTGGCGCTGGGCTGGGCTGGGCTCGTCGACTACGGCCCGATTTAGTTCGCGTTTTTGTTTTGTTTTTCTGGGAGGCTTAGACCCTCTCTCCTGTCGGATCTTCAGGCTTAGTAAAGGGAGAGACTTGGAGAGAGAGAGGGAGAGAGAGAGAGAGATACAAGAAGCGCGTAGAGTCCTTGACATTGGAGAAAGGGGAGAAATACCACCGCTCATTGGAGGAATACCCTGATCCCGTAGTCACACTCACCACGATGTTGGAATTTGCGCCGTGGGTGTCGGCAGGCAGGCGGTCTTGGGAGCTAGCTCCGCGATTCGGATTGGCTGGCTGGCGCCTGGTCTGTGAGTTCTGGTTATTGAAGTGGGTGATTGTCACTTCGCTCTCGCTCTTCTCGAGCTTGTTCTAAAGCCTCTAATCGAACTTCCTGTACAGCACGCCGGAATCAGAAGTTTCCCCCGGAAGGTTTTGAGAGAATCGTGTGAAAATTTCCCAGGATTCTAAGAGGCTAGGAACGATAAGAATGGAAGATTCTAGGGTTCCCCATCACTTAAAAGCTCTCGAATCTTCGTCTCCTGGGTTCGAATTGCGACCTCCTACTATTGTACTTGCACCGCCGGAGCATCCTTTTGGGCCATCCGCTGCGGCAGTGAGCTTCTAATGGCAGTATTGCACTTCGGCATAGTCTGATTCGTAGTGAGCGGAGGCTCTGCATTGTACTGAGCTATCTGAGGTATATGCCGGGCCTAGAATTGCGAGATCTCAGTCGGATTTCCCACAATAACTGGTACATTAGTTTGGAGATTCTCTTGGCCCTGGTGCGGGTTCTGTTGAGGAGTACCTACTCGTAAGTCAGTATCTTACTTTCTGAATGTCCCAGGTGTCGAGAGAGTTCACCTCCATCAGCCCATCCATAACGCGCACGGAAAGCGGTAGCTCTTGAGAACTTCTTCATTCTGCTCTATACATACCAAGACTGGTCCCCTTAGGGCCGGCATCAAAGTGCACAGCGTCCACGAGATAATCCGTCCTCCCGCCCATAACTAGGTCGAGTATCATCCAAGATTCATGCGCCGCCCTTGCCAGTACTCACCTTGGAGCTCTTTCTCGAATTCTTCGGGCTACTAGGAGCGGAGAGCAAATGATCGATCTGTTGGAGAGGACTGGACTTACTGTATCGCCATTCGGGTAGTGGGCTGCAATGGTCGGCCTACGCTCAGAATAGAGCGGGCCACTGTGCAAGAAACATGATATAATACTGATGTGGATTCATAATTGCTGGGTAGGAATACCGCAAGTAAAGTCTGGTTGGTGTAAGATATCGATGGTTGTCGATATAGTGTTGTCGATATAATGTATATATATATTATATACATATATATCCTTCAGCTATGTTATGTGTCTGTTCGCTTAGCATCTATGCGATCGTAGAAAGTGGCAGATGGAACTCCGTAGGGAATTGCGTTCGTTGGAAGGTCATTTCCACCTGAAGTTTTTATATGATGATGCTCCTCGGGCACTCTGGGGTTTGGAGCTGAGGGTTGGTTCGCCGACTCATCCTCCTCCAGCCTTCATGTAGTTCGACGAAACAGAAACATAAACATGCTGCAATGTGAAGAGTATTTTGAGAAACGATAAAGGACATAAGTAATATAGAGTACACAACGTTGCGAAGGCTACCGGTATATAATCTGGAAGGGGGAGAGGGTTGTAGTTCAATAAACGAGGTCAACACATAACAGTGGATCCGGGATTGAGGAACATCAACTCTGATGTCCCCGTCGCCCCGAATCACAGCAACAACAAACGATCATCCACAACGATCAATCTGTGAATAGCTTCACTTTTTGGAATTCAGGATAGACAACATCGTCAATCGTTGCTGCCAGGTACTACCGGTAGTACCAGTCCCGAGTACGTACGGAGTATTTCGTCACCGCGCCCGCCGAAACTCTCCCTCGGCCCTTCGCGCTCTCGCTCGTACCCCTCGATGACCAAAGCGTTCTTCTAAGCATCAACAAAGTACGGAGCAAAGTATGTGAGACTCGGCATCAGCTTTGTTACAGTATGCGTTTGGCACTTTGCACAAACCCCCAACTATGTCGTCGGCGTCGCAGCCCCTCAGGACAGGGCCACCTCAGCACCAACACCAAAACCAACGAGCTCCAGGCAGTTTTTCACCCATGTCTCAGCCCCTAATTTCGCGGCCAGCTCTACGACGGGTCGAGTCGAGCGACGGCGAAGACGACGACGACAACGACGAGAAGCTGGTGCCCGTCGTCAAGTCGCGGAATGGCTCAGTAACACAGCAGCATGCGTCGACGGCAGGTCTCTCTCAGCGCCCATTCTACTCCTCCTCCCCTGCGACATCGAGTACCACCAGTCTCCAGAACTTTTCGCGCCCAACCATCAACACTGCTCTGGGTCTTCAGTCCTCTAGGAATGCGTCGCCTTTGAGCGCTGTGTCGAAATCTGCGACGTCCGATTTCTACCGTGGTCACAGCAGGAAGCATTCCCAGACCCAGGGCTCTTTCGAGCCTTACCTCCCCACAGCTGCCCATTCGAATATTGGGAACATGGCAAATCACAACAACGGGCTCAGCGCGTCTCAGATTGCTGCGCAGGCAGCTATGCAACAGCAGGCACATAACAGGCAAAGGTCCCAGACCGTCCCTACTCCCATGCAAGAGGGATTGAATGTACCGCAAACTCGCAGACCTTCTAGAGCAGGACCTACCAGCCCGCCCACCTTGAGCTTGACGGAAGCTTCAGGACCTAGGGAACAGAGCTTTGGAGGTCAGATATACCAGAACGGTCTACTCGGGGGATCCCATGGGAATGCTGCCCAGACTGCTGCCAACCTAGTGTTCCCCAAATCTCCCGGCGCTCCTCCCAGTCTACCAGCCACTACGGACCATGACCCATATGCGGTGCATCGTGCGCAGCAGGAGAAGCCTCTGAAGACCGAGAAGTCCAAGGTAAAACTATTTTCGAGGCCAGCGAAGATAGGAATAAGTAAGGATAAGGAAGCCAAAGCCGGTGCCTTGCCCAGCCCAAGTAAGATGGCATCCAGCCTGGCGTCTCTCCAGAGAAAGAATTTCAGTACCAACAGTTTGGTAGATCCCTCGTCGAGCGCTGCCAGTATATACAGTATGGCCAACTCTTCCACAGCGACGATACGAGCGGTCGAGTCCCAAGCACCGGAAAAAGAAAAAGATAAGGAGAAACACAAGCACCATTTCTTATCCAGACAGAAGCACAAGTTGAGCAGTAAGGATGACCATAGCTTGAATCTGTCTTCCTCGGCCAGCAATTCGAGACCAGTTGATCCTAGTGCCCCGAGTAGCATTTACAATTTCAATATTCCACCGAGTCCAGGACCTACAACCACCAGTTTCGCGAAGAGTATGAGTGGGCTGGACTTGTGGCATGGTGGTAGGGCGTTGAGAGAGAAGAAGAAGGAAGAGAAGTCCGATGCATTACGCGAAGGTGAGCTCTCTTACCAAATTAGCAACGAGTGGCCAGGACCTTCGAGTTTAGGATCCGTCGGGGCAGCGTCACTTGTTGGGTCCATGGCTGGAAGTCATGCCTACCCGTCAAGTGTTTATGGCCTCGACCCAGATTTAGGCAGCAAATCTGGATTGTTAAATCTCGGCCCTGACGATGCTTGGCCATACCTAAAGGCCAAGCTACTGATCATATTTGAGGGAGAGGATTTAAGGTTACCTGTAGAGGATTTCAACCGGCTTGTAACGTACGTCTCTTTTCCCCTTTCAGATTGCTCATACTTACAGCTTTAGTATCAATCTTCAGCGCTGCATACAGAAGCGAGCCCCAAATATGATAGTTGAAGATCTCCGAGATCTACTCGCAACAGGATTTGGTTCCCTAGACTTCACACTTCGGCGCACGCCCGACGACCGCCTCATCTCGCATTTAGTAGAAATGTGGATGTTCACATTTACCTCCGTGCTTCCCTACATGCAAGCGGTCTTCCTCCCCTTGGACCTCGAATTCTCCGGCCAAGGCCCACTCATGAACCCCGAACAAGCGCGCGACTTCTGGGGTGCCCTCTCCTCTCCTAACATACCCGCCTCGCAAGGACTGGAAGTCCGCCGCATAGTCTTAGCCGCCTACCGCGACACCGTTATCCTTCCCCGCTTTGATACCCTTAAAACAATCTTCTCCCGCCTCTCCCTCGAATCAATCTCCTTCTCTATCCCCACTACCGATAACCTCTCCACGTCCCCTGATTCCTCCGGGAGGCGACCGTCTACAGCTATATCACTTGACCCAGCCCACGCCTCCTACGGCTCTCAAACTACCACTTTACTAGGCGGTGGCTCCTCCGGTGACGGCAGCGGTAGTCGCAGTCGCGCGATCTCAAATGTATCCTACGGCTCTGAAACTTCAGGGCTGGGATTAACGAATTTGCCTCCCCCGCCAGCGAGACCATTCACGCCATCTTCTACTCACCCTTCGCATCCACTTAATCGCGGACAGAGAGATAAGACGGTGGAGGATAGCAGTAAGCAGTTGACCGAGACGGTAGGCAGGATGCTCCAGTGCATGAGCGTGCTTATGAGTGTGGGTGTGGGAGGGGGAGGTGATGAGGATAGTCAGCGGAAAATGGAGGAGTTGACTCGGGGGCTTAAGTTGAATTGGCTTGGAAGGGGCAGGATGGGGAGAAATCGGAGAGGATTGGTAGGCGCGAAGGTGCCGGGAATGGTGGGCAAGGATATCAGCGTGATTTGATTTGAATGGTATTCAAGGGTCGTTATTGGCGGGCAAAACCTGGAACGTTGGGAGTTCGGAACGCCCTATGGATGGGACAGAAGACGGCTCTAGAGCTGGGCACAAAGAAACGAAGGGATACCATGGACGAGAAGGGATGACTGTATGATTGTATGGGTGTTGTTTGCATACCAAACGAAAAGAAAGAAGCGGAAGCAGAAGCGCTGCTGGGTAATGATGTGATGATAAATAGCGAGCCTTTCTTTTCAAGCCAAACCTCCCGATTTCATCAAACAAGAACCCTACCCTAATATCACAAGACGATTCTCCTTCCTATAAATTGCAGGGATTTCCGAGACGTTCAATACCTACCTACCGGTATATCGAGCCCAGGCTTATGAAGCCAACTAAATGTGATTTTGATTCCTGGGTTGAAAAGTGCACACACACACACACACACTCACACCCCATCGAGATGGAGATTGGGGAATTCATATATCATGTATCTTAGGATACTTGTTTACATACCCTGCCGCCGCCACCTTATAGAGAGAGCGAGAGTTTCTCACCTCATCTCATCTCATCTCATCTCATCTGAATTATGGACGGTCTACATGCCTGGCTAGTAAGTTAATTAGTCATTACTAATTTATCAAAAAAATAAGAGGGAGAGGAAGAAAGAAAGAAAGAAAGAAAGAGAGAAAGAAACCTGCGTGTGTATGGACTCGACGACGACGACGACGATGACGACGACGACGTGGTTCTGATATCATATGATATATATACAAAGGCCAACCAATTATATCAATCCGACTGATTGAATCACTGGCTGGATCACCGGCTGAAGTACTGAAATAACTGGCTGGCTAGCTGGATGCCATGTAAAGGCTATAAATAATAACAATACGCTGCACGCAGTATGTGTACCCGAGAATATATCTCGGATGCCTTGAAGGAGACAGATACAAACACATTTAAGGCAGATAGATATAGGTAGGTAAAGATAGTGAGTAATCAAGTGGATAGATCTTCTGTGGCTTGACTCATTTGTCAATCAGTATAATTTGCGGAAGGAGCAAAAAAACGGAGCGTCGGCATTCATAGCTGAAGTCCGATATATATCTCAAGATTCATTCCATGTATGATAGAAGGTTATGATATAATAGGTAAGAATGCGAAAGGCAGGAGAGGGGGGGGATGTTATGCACTGCCGGGGTGTTATGCACTGCCTGGTGTCTATCTTTCCATCTTCAATTCCTCAAGTGAATAATAGCTCCCTGATAAACTCATATCCACAGCTGTTTTTTCAAAAAATACTTATTTTTTTCTCCGATCCATTCAAGTGCTCGCACACTCATGACACCGTCTTCTTCCCTTCCATTCATCCCTTACCACCGTCACTCCAGCAGCCAACCAGCCATCCCTCGAAACTCCACAACTCCCCCATACCCGTTCCAGCCCCAATATCGCACGGGGGGTATAGCACCGAAAAGCAGATATCCTTCCAGGACATATTGTTCCTCAAAAAGACCTGAACACCAGGTAATAAACAACAGGCAGTATGGTACATGATTAACGCCCACTTGGTGGCCTCCCAGTACTAATAAATATGCAACAAGACAATACTTATGGAGAAGCAGAATTCGAATGTACCTAGGGTAGCGCGCCATATGAACCTGGGAATGTTTTATGTGATGCGAGTCGATTGTCCGGATTGAGATGAACAATGTGGGGTCAAGGTCGCGAGGGCCGTTCTCAAGCCGGATTCCCTTTTTGTCTCTTCCCACCAATCCTCGGACTCGGTTTAACGGCCGTCTTCGACACGCTGTTGACTTGCTGCTGCTGGTCTTCTTCCGGCTTCACGGTACTCGGCCTTCTACGTTTGTTGGTGTTAGGACTGGTGTTTGCGCTAGGCACGCTGGAACTAGTACCGTGCTGGCTTTGCTGGAGTTGCATACCGGGAGCCTGAGCTGGACTTTCATGTGGCCGCGGGGAGCCATCAATGCCCAGATGAGACGGGGCAGGCGAGTTGCCGACGAAGTTACCCATTCCCGGCGTTCGGGGCCCGGTGGAGTTCGGTTGCTGCCCATTGGCTCCGTTCGTCGCGACAGTGGACACGTATTGATCGAGAGCGCCGTATGGCTCCATCGTTGGATGTTGGTGAGAGTAGTTGAACAATGGATTCATCATGCCCAAAACTTCAGCAAGCTTCACAGGTTAGGTAAGATCAGACGAGCGTAGGGAGTAGACTTACCTCAAGATATCGGAATACTGCAGGGGTGATTCCCATACTTGGCTTGACCTTGGAAAGAGGCAGATCAATCTCAGGGGGAGGTTGAGGGGGTGATTTCATCGCCTTTTGCTTCTTCTTGTTCATTTCAGGTGACTGCTTGCCATCAGGTGGAGAGTTGACTTTGTGCCATTCTTTCTGCCACTCGTGCAAAGGTCTAGCAGCGTTAAGAATCTGGGTTCTGGGAATGTACTCCTCATGACTGTTCGTCACAAACTCAAGTAGCTCAATCTTCTGATCTGCATCGAAGTGTGCTTTTAGGGTGCCATTTGCGACCAACTTGTAGATATTAGCCACGTTCGACATCACCTCTAGATCTGGACTTACCTGAGATCCGTTGTCGAACCAGTACACGAAGCTCGACTTCTCGCAAGATATGTAATGCCCGTTGTGCAGTTCTCTCTCGAAGCCTCGTTCCATGACCATTTGCATGTTCTTGATTCCACTCTCAAAATGCGTGTGAAAATATCTCGCCAATGCCGGAAACGTGATTTCGTATTGTTTGTTTGAGTTTTCATCTACGAGCCAGACGGAATGTCGTAACACTCCTTTCGGAGAAAAGAACTGATTGACGAAGTCCAACCAGTAATTCAAATCATCATTTTGTTTTGATCCCTGCGCATCGAGTCGTTGAGTTCCATCGGCCATGTAGTTTGAAAGTGGTTTAGATCTTACCCCGAAGTTGCTTAGACGGTCGCTAAACTGAATCAATTTTATTATGCATTGACTCTTCATCTTCTCTCCCTGCCTTTGTTGCTGTTGTAACATGGCTGCGGCTGCTGCTTGCTGCTGCTGTTGCTGCATGCTCGCTTGATGCTGTTGGTGGGGAGCCTGTTGGTTTTGCTGGGTTTGTGGCTGAGGATTTGGCTGAGGCTGCTGGATTTGGGCCTGCGCCTGAGCCTGAGGTTGACCTTGGTTTTGCTGGGCGGCGGCGGCAGCCTGGGCTTGTTGGTGGGCTTGCTGCATCATGGCAGTCTGGGCTTGAGCATTTTGTGCTTGTTGGGGGTTCATCGGGGGCTGGCCTGGATTGTTTCCAGCCTGGGCGACTTGGGCCATCTGCAACTGCTGGGCCAAAAGGAGCTGCTGCTGATGCTGAGCTCGTTAGTTCAAAGGATGGGACAAAAGCTTAGGTAAATTCATCTCACATGGTGCTGAGCTTGAGCATGTTGCTGCTGCTGCATGCTATCGACCTGTTGCTGTTGTTGCTGAAGATGTTGTGGCAGATTGACCGGGCGAGCCATGGGGTTCCCTCGCATCGCTTGATACTGTGCCTGGGACATTTGGCCACCCATCCCATTCGGCATCATCGGTACTACGCCGTTGTATTGTTGAGCAAGCATAGCTTGACGATGTTGCTGCTGCTGCTGTTGCTGCTGCTGGCGCATCAGTTGTTGCTGTAATGACGGGTTGTCTATATTAGAGGTGTGGTCAGCTTCGGTCGTCCATGCCCCAATGAACGAGAGGTCTACCGCGAGCGTCGCAAGCCGAGACTACTTACACATTTGCTGCTGCATGAATTGCGCCTGTTGAGAATTCGGATTGAGATGGTGTAGAGCGTGTTGGTTTGGTCCTCCAGCTCCAGGAGGCATGCCACCCATCATGGCTCCTCCTTGACTAACTTGTGGTCCTGGGCCAGAGACCCCCATTGGCATCTGCTGCATGCCAGGGCCTGGTTGTCCGTGCTGGTTCGGATTATGTTGCACGCCCATGGGATGGCCTTGCGCCATGCCTGGATGTTGTTGCATTCCGCCGGGGTGCGCTGAGTATGCTTGGGACATAGACATATTGCTTATCATGTTGCTGGACTATCCACGATGTAGAACTCGCAATACACCAATCTAACAGCCTATCCAAACATGCGCCTTGACGCTCGAGTTCCACCTCCACCCGCTTCCTGGTTGAGGTCACGTCTCCGCGATCGGGGCTAACTGAAAGGTTGTACTGCGAAATGGGCAATTCCGATCTCGACGTCGGCTGAAGATGGTCGGGGCTGGCAGATGCAGATTTGTCGCGATCAGATGCCGGCTAAATCGCGCGGGAGGCAGGAACTTCAGTCTCAAGCGTCGAGAAGTTTGCTGGTCCGAGAAGCGGTCGTACGACTCTGCAGGTGTGTCCACGATGGGAGTTGTGGCCAGTAGATACCACGGTTCTACGAGGATCGTCGTCTAAACTTCCAGCTGTCAAGAACCGTACCCTGACGCAAAGCCCTACGGTTGATCAATGAGCAGGGAGGTAATTAGCGACCGCGACCACGACCACGATCACGACCGCGACCACGACCGGTAGTTGTTTGCCACGCGCACGGCGGTTGGGGCGACTCGAGGGCGAGAGCGTGTCGTTCGTTGTCGTCGTCGCTACCGTTGTCTTGTCTTTCCGCAAAATACGTGCGGATCCTAGATCGAGGTGATTCGAATCGGAGGCCCTGGTCTGGTCCGGTCTGGTCTGGGGTTTAGAAGAGAAGCAAGAGCGCGGTGGGTCGGTAGAGTCGGTAGAGGGGAAAAAAGAGCGATGCGAGCAGCCAAACGGAATACAGTGCGTGCAATTGGGCGATGCGATGCGATATCCAAGGAGCTACGAGACTGGAAATGAGGGCATTCCAAAACCAAGTCAACGTTCAAGTCCGCACCGCAGCTGAGGTTCGGATAAAGTAAGTAAGAGGCTTTGACGGGACGGGGGGTGGGGGACGGGCGTTCCAAAATCTACGGCAGACGTTAGCGGGGATAGAGCCGAAAGATCACCAGAGCTAAATCACGGGACTGGAATTGGAAGTCACTAGAAGAGTCGTCTGACCTATATCATCGACCAGACGCATATCTAATTAAAGAGACTGTTTGATACCTCAGCGTCATTCGGAGTCCGTGTTGTGGACGAATAAAGTGAAGATAGATACTCGATATCTGTCACGTGATATGAGCTTTGCATACATCACGTTTCACAGGAAGGAACTCGAGATGGAGTTTAACAAGTAAATTTCACGGAGCATTGCACATTCAACACAGATACAATCGACAATATCATCTCTGATCACCCCTCTGCACCATGGCACCACTCTACGCCGCGTTCGCTACGAACCATTCTGGCCATTTTCAGGTCTCCTCTGTCCATTCGCTGTACTATGAAGACTGTGGAAAGCCTGATGGCGTCCCTATCCTCTATCTCCACGGTGGGCCAGGTGGAGGCATAGATGATGGTGACAGGTAAGTCACATTGTCTCGCCTCATAACATTCCCCCTCCCCCCCAAACTTACACCCTCTCAGACGCTACTTCGACCCATCCCACTACAGGAGCATCCTCTTTGACCAGCGCGGCTCGGGAAAGTCCACGCCCTCGGCTTCGCTAGAGGATAACACTACCTGGGATCTCGTAGAGGACATTGAGAAGCTGCGTGAGCATCTCCATGTCGACAAATGGATTGTCTTTGGTGGCTCTTGGGGCTCGACTCTCTCGCTTGCTTATGCCCAAAAACACACTGAACGGTGTCTGGGCTTGATCCTGCGCGGGATATTCACTCTCAGGAGGAGCGAGCTGGAATGGTTTTACCAGAGTGGCGCGGACATGCTATTTCCTGACTACTTCGAGCATTACAAAGCCATGATTCCTGAGTCTGAGAGAGGTGACATGATGGCGGCTTATTATAAGAGACTGACTGGGAGCGAGGAGCAGGAGAGGCTCAGATGGTATGTTGTTACCTGATTTAACTCCAGATTCTGTCATCGCGCTCAAAATACTTTGCTGACCGAGTATATCTAGTGCTTCGGCTTGGAGTACATGGGAAAACGCGACGAGCAAGCTGATTGTCGACCAAGCGTACATCGCCCGCGGCGATGATCCAAAGTGGGCACTCGCATTTGCAAGGATAGAAAGCCATTTCTTCGTCAATGGTGGCTGGATGGAAGATGGGCAGCTGATTAAAAACGCGCACAAGATCAAGCATCTTCCGATCTCTATCACGCAGGGCCGCTACGATGTCGTATGTCCCGCCAAGACGAGCTGGGAGCTCTATCAAGCTCTTGGAGGCAAGGAAAATGCAAATGTGGACTATAAGATTGTCGGCGACAGTGGGCACAGTGCACATGAGAAGTCGATAGAAGAGGCTTTGGTGGATGCTGCTGACAGGTTCAAGTCGCTGAAAGCATAGGAAGGTAGGTATCGGATGTTGGATCTGACTTTGTAGGTATTCGCTCGATAAACACAATGTCATCCAATATTCTCACCCATGAATACATATCGAAAGCATAATTTTCCAAGGGACCTTACCAGGACTTAAACCAATCACCTTATAAGAATCCAGCCTTGAAAAGTATCTTTAGTTCGGTATTCAGTCTGTGCAATTGAGTTGACAGGGCTTAAAGCCATTCAGAAACCACCGCTCTACGATTTATGGAGCTAAACTGGGTCCGACATTCAAACATAGGGGGGAGTTTCTATATTCGAATGATATTATTACCAAGATCTTGAGACGGTTTCTCCCGTTGTTTCGTGGTATCATCAAAGACATCAAATCCAGTTGAGAAGCACAGCTTATCTTAAAGATGCAAAGAAACAAAAATTTCACTGAAAACGCATATGAAATAAGGTGATGTAATATGCAGCTACATAAGCATAGGTCATGTGACTCTGCTAGGGAACAACATTTTTCCGCGCCGGGCGGCCGACGCTAAGAATTTTTCCTAGTACTTAAACGTCTCCTCGATCCTAAGTTCTTTTTTTCACAAACAAGTCTTTAAACTACTTTCAAACCAACAACTCCGACTTCTCTGCATTGTGCGACATGCGCCTGAACCTTCTGATAATGGTAAGCTTCAGCTCTATCTCTTCCGCGCTCACCCGATCTTCTATGATGATAACCACCACTACTTCTTTCTCCAACTTAATCGCCAATGATGAAGCCTCTGCATTCGGGCTCCGCATTCGTGAGGAGTTTGTTACTTGCCAGTACACCTTGTCTGAGTTTGATCGTCACCATTACGTCGACAGAAACCTAAGCGTGGTACTTTGCTAACCTTGCAAAGAGATTCTAGGATCAGATCCTACCCTCACAAAGCCTCCTCGAGCTCACCTTTTATCAAGCTCGCAGGAATAAAAAGTGCCAACATGAATCCGCGACGGGCACATCATTGCTATACCATGTCCAGCATTCCACTTACATATAGGGACCTCGTCTCACCTTTCGCCTTTCTCCAAAGGTCAGTCGAGAATTTCATACTGTCTCCCTCCCACACCGCTCTAATGATGAAACACAACCACATTCGCAGTTTTCACTCGAGCTTCACATAGAACCTTTTTGAGAAGCATATGAGGGCACAATCTTCCTTGGATGTCTGACTGAGCTATTTTATCAACTTTTGCAGCATGGATTCCACCACTTGCATGCGCTTTGCTGACTTGAATCAAACCCAGGACTATCACAAATTCTGCGCATCGCTGGCGCCGAGATGTTCGGAGGGTTTCGGATACCACATTGTGCATCTTGTATTATCTACAGTCTTTCCACTTCATTCAATACAACTATTTCCACCTGAAAGTTAGCCCTGTAGACGTGTCTCCAGCACCTGTGACCCTGACCCCATAACAATGATTTTACGATAGAGTTGCCTATGGTAACCTGAAATTGATGCCGAGCTTCCGTAAAATCGGATTCCCCAGCCAGACATGAAACCTACGTGATCCCCAAGGCCGATGCCTTCGGGAAGTTCCCGACCCGGATCTCTCATCATCCTCAAGCAGCGAGCGGCGGCGAACGAACACCAAAAGAAACCTCGAGATTCGGAAGCTCTCCCTCTTCTTTCTAGGAACGATACCGCCATTGAAAAGATCCATACCCACCCGTCTGCTTATGAAGACAAGTTGGATAGAAAGAAGTAAAGCCACCGCCAGCCAGAGATGCATCTATCCAGAACAAGGAAAATGGCACCTTTGATCTCCGTCTACCAACCAATACACACAGTATGCCTATATCCACTCACCGCTGTGCGGAATACCTAGACACGCTTTCCTCTGGCATGGACCTCGAACCTCTATCAGAACGGAATAAGTATATGAATATATAAATATAAATTTGGAGCTTGAGTCTTTAGTGTGATGAAACGTCCTCGGTATGAGCTCAGCTCGGCTCGGGCTAGGTTGAAGGTTTGTATGTAGGTATGTAGCGCGTTCTCTCTGCCTGCCTGTCTGTCTGTCTGTCTGTCCATCAAGGTACTCTGCCTGCCTGTCTATGTGTTGATTCTTGTTATTGATTGATTGACGGAGGCAGGCTCGATGCTTCTATTCTACTACTCTACTACATGGATAGATTCTTTGCGTGCATTTTCATTTCCGACTCTAACCCCAAAATAAACGGGATTGTTAAAAAACCAGATTGCAAAAAAAACGAGAGGTCTGATAACCCGCCGTCAAAACCCACAACCGTGCCCGCGCTTGAAAACCTGCGACGCTTTTTGTATTTTCTGTGCTACCCGGTCGATTGATCTAAACCAAAGCACCTCGTCCACCAACCCTCAACAACGCAGCCTTCTGCGCCTCGCTAATGCCCACTTCAGGCAAAGTCTTCTTCCCCTTCGTGGGTGGCGCGCACACGAACCCAATACCGACCAGATACGCCAGATACCGTCCCATGATGGGCTCGTCGACGAAGCCGCCGGCAGAGAGATCCTCGCCGGTGAATTGCGCATCTGATTTCAAGGCCACAGCGGCATTGGCATCGGCCATTTCGGGGGCGATGGTGTCGCCGGGCAGGTCAGTGGTTGCGAAATGGTAGAGCGGCATTCTGTGTAGAACATGTTAGTCATCTCGTTTTTCGGAGAAAGGTGAGTGGAGCAGGAGGGATGTGGACGTACAGAGCATGCTGCTCGTTCTCCTCCTTCGCAGCATATTCCTCCAGCTTCTTACTCCACACCTTGTACTCGACTTCAGGAACCTCGTATCCGTACGTCTCCAGCGTCGCTAAGTACATACTGAACGTCAAGCGCGGGTGACTTGTTACTTGGGCAACCGCCAACTCTCTCTTCGGCGGGCTCAGCGCCGACGCAACGACCACGCGCGCAACGTGGTTCACGGGGACCTGGTTGACGGTATTCGCGATCTTGGGACGGCAGCTGAGCTGTATACAGCCCTTTGCCATGCGGATCAGGAAATCATCGGTGTTGGTCACGCCACTCTTGGGATCACCCGTCACGTAGCCGGGACGGATTATGGTTCCTCGGAGACCTCGTTGGCCAGCCGCCCGCACGAGGAATTCAGAGACCCATTTCGATTGTCCGTATCCTGTCCCGAGACCCGTGGCACTTCCTGCGAGATCGTCGTCCTCGGAGACGGGAACGCCGGACTGGGATTGTTTAACGAAGTGCTCGGTATCCAGCACTGAGGTTGAAGATACGAAAGCTAACTGCTTGGAAGTGCCAGTTGCGCAGAGGGACAGGATGTCGAGCGTACCCTGGACGTTGGCGGGTCGTAGGTTGGAGTAAGGGTATACCCAATGAACTAAAGCGCCGTTGTGGATGACGATGTTGGCATCCTGCGCGACTTTCTCAAATGTGGCTTCTGAGAGACCGAGACGAGGAGCGCCAAGGTCCCCGACTACACAGGTGATACGGGTAGTCCAGGAAGGGTCCCAGACACCGTAGGCTTGACAGGTTTGCGTTATTCTGTCGAGGGCGGCTGCGGCGTCAAGGGCGCGGACGTGGGCGATCACTTTAATGGGAGGCGAGGGGCGGGTGAGGAGGTCTCGGAGAAGGTAAGCTCCTAGGAAGCCAGTTGCACCTGTGAGAAAGATAGTGAGAGGCGTGGTGGTGGTGATTGCTGCGTCTACGGACGGGAACGAAGCAGGGAGAGATTTGAGAAGTGCTTTTGCATCGGCGGCATAGTCTTCTGCTGCCTCGACATGAGCTTCGCCGTTGGTGGTCGAAGATGCGCGTCGATCAATTTGAGCAGCGAAAGCCTTAAGGTTTGGATTTTGAAAGATCACACTCATGTTAATCTTGATACCTTCCCACTTGCGGTTGATTTTAAAGAGCATCTGCTGAGCCAGTATACTATGGCCTCCGATATCAAAGAACGAGTCATCTGGACTGATCGTTCGCTCATCCACGGTAGCGATGAGAGATCCCCAAATGGCGGCGACCTCTTTCTCGGTCTCTGAGAGATCTACATACTTCCCTTGTGGTTTTGCAGCAGATAGCTGTGCTGCATCCGGGAATGGAAGCGCTGGCTTGTCTTTCTTGCCGTTAGGGTTCAGTGGGAACTTGTCGAGAGGAATGATGACTTCTGGAATGGCATAAGATGGGAGTTTCTCTTTCAAGAAATGCTTGATGTCGTCTCCTAAAGGCCAGAATCTGCGCAGTCTTCCTTGAATACCCTCTCCGGATACGTCGTCTTCCAGACCCTTCTGCGTTAGCCATGAGGCCCATTTCTGCATATCAGGTACGATATAGCTGACTAGGGTCTGCTCTTCATCCTTGTTTCTTCGCACCAAAGTGACGTTGTCGAGAACCATAACGTGATCGGAGAGATATTTGTCTATTTCCCCGAGCTCGATTCTGAATCCACGGATTTTAACCTGATCGTCTGCGCGACCAACACACTCGACATCACCAGTTGACATGTATCGTCCTAGATCACCAGAGCGGTACATACGGTCTCTTGGACCTTTGTAGAATTCTCTCCAAGGCTCCTCCGCAAGTGACTTGGCAGCCTTCTTGTCCTCTTCGATCCACTTAGCGTTGTCAACAAACCAACTATCCACAAACTTGGTCTTGGTGAGCTCATCGCTTCCAAGATACCCCTCAGCCAGTCCAGCAGCACGAACATAAATCTCTCCAATTTCTCCCAAGTCGCAGACACGATTCCTATTCTCGCGGTCTACGATAAGAAGTTGGACGTCTTTCATACCCTTCCCAGCTGGTATGATGTTGCCCATCTTGTCCAAGTACTCTGGATCGGCAGCTCGGCTCGGAATCTCAAAATAGCTGACGGCTCGTTGAGTCTCGGTCGTTCCATACATGTTCACGATAAACACATTTGGAGCAAGTTTTTGCAGCGCCTTGCAGTCTCTCTTAATCAGAATATCTCCGACGAAGAAAGAATGATGCAGTGCTGGGAACTCGGCACTAGCTCCGCCGACCAGAATTTGACCCATTGCTGGGGTCAGGTGGGTGACTGTAGCACCATGCTCTCGCATCCACTCTGCTAATCTCTCGTGCTGGATATCATCTTTAGAAGGGACCAAAATTTGAGCTCCGAGGAAGAGGGGTGTGAAAATATCTCGCTGGATAGGATCGTGTGCGATTCCTGACAGCATGGTGAATTTGTCATCTTTGGTGAGTTTGAATTGCTCGGCCATCCAGTCAAAGTAGTAGGCCAGCGAGTAATGTCGTCCTTGGACACCCTTGGGTCGACCCTCAGATCCAGATGTAAAGGAGAGTGTAGGGCAAGAGTCTGGTCCCACCACAACACCAGGGCTCTTGGCCTTCAAGGATACTTGGCCGGCCAAAACATCATTCCCGTTGATTTTTCCACCAACGAGGGTTCCGTCATCCTTGAGCTCCAATCCTGGAACCTCAGTTCGGAGCTGCAGGTTCTCCTTGACGAAATCTTTGACTTTTTCGGTCAACTCTCCAGCTTCTCGGGTGGCTTTGTCAATGACAACCAAGGCTCTCGGTCTCGCTACATCGAGGTAGATATTCTGACGGTCCGGCGGGTACGAAGGGTCAATGACTGAAAATGTAGCTCCAGCCTTCAAGATACCCATGACCGTGACCACCAGGTCAACCCCTCGGTGACTGTAGGACATGACAACCTCTCCCCTCTGAATCCCGGACTGCACCAGATGGTGAGCCAGGATGTTCGATGCTTCATTGATTTGGCGGTATGTGAACTCTCGTCTTGGTGAGGATCCAGAAGCTGTCTCAACAACACATAGCCGGGTTGGATGTGCTTCGGCATTTGCAGAAAATATGTCTTGGATTGCTCCACGGAATGCTGACCAGTGAAGGTCGGTGGTAGGGTCCGGGAGATCAGGTTTGGCAGACATTGTGTGTACTTTTGAGAATTGAGCGAAAAGAAGAAAGGAAGGTCCAATTCACTTTTGAGGAAGATGTGAGTTGGTTGTCGAGCCAATTCAGTCTGGTGTGAAGGAATTGGGAATAAGAACGCCGCCAACAAGCCAATTAGTTCATATGTCGTGGCTTGGAGAGAAGCAGGACGACGAGGATGAGGATGAGTATGAAATGAAAAAAAAAAAAAAAGGATGAAAAAAATCCGGCGTAGATTTGGAGGATTGCTAGTCGACGGAGGTCACGTGTAGCTTTCGATTGCTTGGGGACTTTTTTTTTTTCTCCTCAGCCTCGCGGTACCGTCATCGAGGGTCACGTGTACTTCCGAATCCTTATCAGGACCCGCTAGCCTGTTTCGGAGGGAGGGCAGGCCATATATGAAAAATACGTCTACAATATGATTATATAAATTTATATATTCTGCAAGAGCTTCATTCTCTCTAGGTGGGCCTGAATTGAGTAAATCCATTGCAGCTTTTTGTAGCATTGTCTTTGCTGTGTCTCCTTTTCATGCGCATTCTTCCACAGCGTCGCGCTTACCACCAAAACCTCGAACTCGAACCTCGCAACTCGCAAGGAGAGGAGGAAACAACGCCTACAGAACCGGTCGATTCGCAGATCGAATTGCCCTGCAGCATCCAGAGTCGAGTCGAATCGAATCCTCCTTCGATGCCATCTTAATTGATAACCATAACCACCATCCTGCGGTACCAGTCCGTCCTCCAATATGCCCGTCCAACGAACAATCTTCGGCAGGCCTATACGGCCTCTGCCCCCGAAGCAGATGACCATCCTGCTGGGCACCATTGCTATGTCCGCATTCATTACACTCTTGTTCACGCTGCCGAGTTCGATACCCACGCGCCCGTCCATTTCCCTGCCCAAGATCCCTCAGAAGCTGTCTCCCAGTATCTTCAACCCCTTCCGTCCAGCCGCACACGCGCCGCCGATACCGAAGAACAAGAATTTAACAGATGGGGAATCGACATGGTACACGAACTGGAACTGGCTGAGCCCCTTCTCTTCGTCTGTTACGCTGGACGAGAATCGCTCGCTACTCCCGCCTCTTCAAGAACGGCCGCCAATCTACACATACTACGACCATACCTTGAAGAAGGAGGAGGATCTGAAGAAGGCTGAGAATGCCATCCTAGTTACATGGAGAAAGGCATGGTGGGCGCAGGGTTTCAGGCCGATCATCCTAAGCCCGGCAGAAGCTATGAACAATCCCATGTATGCGGAACTTCAGCTGCTGGCGCTGGACGAACCCATGAAAATTGAGGTGTCGAGATGGCTGGCGTGGGAGAATATGGGGACTGGGTTGCTTTGCAACTATTTGATGCTGCCAATGGGCTCGTACGAAGACCCTCTACTTGCGTATCTTCGGAGGGGGGAATATCCTCATTTGACGCGATTCGACAAAATGGGAAGTGGGCTATTCGCAGGATCAAAGGCAGATATTACAGCTGCTGTGAAGGAAGCCTTGGCGAATAAGGAGCTGAAGACAGCCAAGAATTTCATCGATGCTATCAAGCCCGAGACCTTCGAGATTGAGCCAAAGCACGACGCATTGGCATACTACGACGCCAAAACTATCAATGATAAATATCCCAAGATCGCGGAAGATATCGTCAAAAAGGGAGCAGAGGGGATGATGATTTTGAACCAGCTCACAGTATCACATCTACACGGCACCTGGCGCAACATCCACTCTAAAGGGATTTCTGTTGTCAAGCCAGACCCAGTACACATGTCTTCTCTCGTAGAACCCGCTTTCAAACTCGCCAGCTTCCTTGCCCAATGTCCCGAATCACCAATGCCAGCATCCTGTCCTCCCAATCGTCCACGCTGCAAACCCTGCGTAGCCTCTACGCCCGTCAAGATATCTACCCCCGAGTACTACGAAAACACAACCGAGCTCTATACAATCGGCACAGTCCCCCACCCCTATACGCACGCTGTCCTCAGCGCCTTCCGCTCCGAGATAACCGTCCCCTGGATCCGCCGCGAATCCACCCGCGACCCCTGGCTCACGCGCCTCACGCAGCAGCTCCTCGGCTCCGGAGTTTCTGGTGCTCCTCGCGTTATCAAATTTAAGGAAGCAGTCGCCTCCCCCTTCGGCAAGGCGCACTCCCTCTGGGTAACGGCCGAGAAAGATATGCCGCTCGACCTGGACTGGCACTTCGGCTTCACGATCCCGCGCAACGCCACCGATACGGGGAAGTCGGAGACGCCGGTGCCGGGCCCGGAGCGGCGCCCAAAGCCGCAGCACGACCCCAAGGACGGTCCGGTGCCGAGCGAGGAGGAGATGGCGCAGGAGCTGGAGCTGCTCAAGCGCGCGAAGGAGTTTGGGGTGCAGAGGACGAGCGAAGAGGAAAAGATCCGGGGCGCGATCGAGGCGTGGAACTTGGCGGATACAGAGGCGTGGCGTTTCGCGAGGGCGTTCTTAGCGCGGAGTCGTGTAGAAAGGCTGAAGTGGGAAGAGGAGGAGAAGAAGTATGCTGGGGGTGCTGGGGCCGAGAGGAAAAAAAGCGAGGGCTGGGGGAGATGGTTTGATGATAAATGAAGAGATACCTTAGTGTTGGGAGCTTGTTTCGTCAGTAGCGATATGGGTATGATGGTTTTACAAAGTGCGTACCTATGTATATGATACCTTCCTTCCCTACTCCCAAGACAGGCGCGGCGCTATGATGTTTTTCTTTTCTCTTTTCCCTACATCTAATTTCCACGATCGGGCGTGTTTCTTCTTCTTCTTCTTCTTTTTTTTTTTTTTTCTTAACCGGGGAGTTTCCTTTCTAGAGCGTGCTTTATTTATACTTGAGCTGTTTCCGCTGAAAGAAAAAAAAAAAAAGATGTACTTACTCACTACGAGCTTACGACGTGTAACCGTGTAACGAAGGGTGAGCGAGCGGGCTCAGCAAGATTGTAGGATAATAAGTAAAAAAAGGGTTGAGCAAGGCGAGAAAGAAAATCGTATGGGTGCGAAGAATAACCTACCTCCCTACCTGCCTATTGAAATCTTTCTCTTTTTTTTTTTCAGGTGGGTACCTAGTAGATATGCCTATCTACCGTTCGCGGCTGGGGGCTTTTTCGTTACCTATTTTTCTTCACTTTTCACGTTCTTTTTTTGGGGGGGGGGGGGGGGATCGATTGTGTTGTATGTATGTATGGCGTTAGGTGGATGGGAATCTAAGGAGTAGGTGATTTTTTTTTTTGAGGGGGGAGAAGTTGTGTTGTGTTGTTTACGAAAGGTGGTGTGGTTTAAGGGCTGTCGATATTGATTGATGGTGGCTTTACAAGCTAGCTATCTAGCTAGCTAGCGGGAAGATTATGTGATTAGCCACTCATTTAGTGGAAGTTGCAATGATGAAATGAAGCCCGCGCTATCTGTTTGTCCTCTCGCTTGTTTGTTGATTGATGGGTTGTGATGATGAGATCCTCGGTCTTGTCCTCCCCCCCCTCCCCTTTTGTTTTTCTTCTTTCCAATTGGGCTGCTTGGAATCCTTCTCTTCCTCTATCTTACCTGTTTATAGATCAAAAAAAA